AACCGACCGTCCCTACCCCCTGTGCTGTATGTGCAAAGACCACGGTCCCATCTGCACAGTTGTGGGGCTTACTGTCTCCCCTCCCACTGGAGTGGGAGGAGTTTGCCGTTGCTGCTGGAGAGTGAGCTGCTCTGTGCTTCATCTGTGTGTTCCCAGGACCACACCCGTTTGTGGCTGCTTTGGAGCTCGATTTCTGGGCTTTGGAATTACTACAGCAAGGGGCTCTGCCTGGGCCTAGGCAAGCATGGCCCTCGGGTCTTCCTCCCCAGCCTGGGGATGGAAGGTCAGGCTGGACGAGCTGCAGGCAGTGCTGGCTTTTGGGGAAGGTAAGGCGGATACCAGGGGCCTGTCTTGGACTGAGCATCAGGCCCTCTCCCGGCAAATACGAAACCAGGTCTCCCTGTTGGAGGAACTGGCGGGGGGATGTCTAGGAAGCTTACAGCATGGAAAAGGGAAGTGGGGGTCCCCCAGGGAGCTACGGCCCACACCAGGGCCGATATCCAGCTGCTCTCTGGGCTGCTGGCTGAGTGCCGTGAACTTGCCAGCAGTGGCCTCCACTTCCTAGAACAGCCCCCCCCGTCCCTGGAGGTGGGAGAGGGTACCGAGGAGGAGGTAGTCCCTGAGACCCCCCCTGAGGTGGCTAGTGCCAGCAAGGCCCCTCAGGCCTCCCTCACCTATGCTGAGGCTGCAAAGGGTGAGGGGGTTGAGGCTAGGGTCTTTATGGGGCTACCTTCTGACAGGCTCCGGGGTCTGCTTGTGTCCCTGAAGGCCCAGCATGCCGAGGCAGACTCGGGCCTAGCTGGGGTCCAGGCAGAGCTAAGGGAGCAGAGGGAAAAATCAAACAGGACCTCTAATTACAAAAGAGGTCCTTTGAGGGCCGCTATAGCTGAGAAAAAATTAGTGGAGCAGCATCTATCCTACACCCTGCTCCAGACTGAAAAGAAAATAGCAGACATCCAGGCCATCCTGCAACAGAGAGCCAAGGACGCTGCGAGGTCCAGGAGGCAGAGGGCTATGGAGGGCAGGAGGGACATGTCCCCAGGTGAGGAGTCCAGCAAGGACTTGGATTCCAACTCCCATCACTCACCTGGGGAGCCGTCTACCTCTGCCCTTGCTACTCCAGGGGGCGCTGCTGAGACGGAGGGGAAGGCCAGAGAGAAGGACAGTGAAGAGGAGTGGGACGGAGAGAAAGGTGAAGAGTGGCAGCTGAAAGTGCAGGACAGAGGTCGAGGGCTGATTAAGGAGTCTCTCCTCAAGTTTGGAAACGAACTTGGGGAGGGCTCCGTAAAGGACAAAAAGAAGAAAAAGAAAAACATCGCCCGGCGTCAGCCTGAGACCTCTGTCAGGGGGTCTGGAGATTCCACAGAGGAGGGTGAGTGTTCAAATGCTGAGTATATGTACAATGATGATGTTCAGGCCTTGCAGAAGCCTGGGGCCAGGGATACTAACCCTGCAGGTGGCAACACCTGTATGCCCCAGAAACCTGCACAACCTGCCTCTGTGGAAGTATCTGGGCCCCCCGCCGCCCTCCATGGTGACAGGGAGACCATCCCCGCCGGTACTATGGCGTGTACCGGTGATCCCATGGAGGGGTCCTTCCCTTGCTCCCTTCCCACTCCCTCCCTTACCTGCCTTCCCTCTGACCTTCCTCTCCGTGTGGTTGCGTCCCCTGGAGTGGCTGGTACCTCTGCCTCCTGTCCTCAGGCGGCTGCTGGGCAGGATGGCACTGGATGGAGCAGTCTGGAGCAGGGTGATGGCCCTCCTTTTCCCTCTGCTCCCTTGGAGCAAGCTCGACTGCTCTCCCCTACCAGCAAGTCTCCTCCCCTGTTTGTCCCCCAGTCTGTTTCCCTGGATGTGTCCAAGTTTGTCTTCCAGTCTGTTCCCCCTGCTTCCCTATGTGTTCCCCTTATGTCTGAATGTGTAACCAGTCCCCCTGTTGTTCCTGTTGTTCCTGTTGTTCCTGTTGTTCCTGGTGCCGCGGGTGCCGCTGGCGCTATGGAAGACAGGACTGCAGGGGACTCCCATCATCCTCAGCCAGCAGTCCATACTGAGGAAACCGCCAGTGGAGGTAAGAAAAGTATGACTAACATTGTGTTTGACTCCACTGGTGGTTTAGGGATGGCTGAGGAGGATGGGAGTATGGATGTAAATGTAATGATGGGACCTATTGGCCTTAGTAAAAAGGTCCACAGCCAGCCTGTTTGTATTAATGATGTTGCCCCTGCCCCTGGTGTTGTTGCCCCTGCCCCTGGTGTTGTTGCCCCTGCCCCTGGTGTTGTTGCCCCTGCCCCTGGCGTTGTTACCCCTGCCCCTGGTGTTGTTGCCCCTGCCCCCGGTACTATTGCCCCTGGTGTTGTTGCCCCTGCCCCTGGTGTTGTTGCCCCTGCCCCTGGTTATGTTGCCCCCGCCCCCGGTACTATTGCCCCTGCCCCCGGTACTATTACCCCTGCCCCTGGTACTGTTTCCCCTGCCCCTGGTTATGTTGCCCCCGCCTCAGGTTATGTTGCCCCTGCCCCTGGTTCACTGGAGTTAGTTGGTACACAGGTGGCGGGCACGGGCACAGGCACCCTGACAAAGGGTGCCGCGGTTATAAATAGTTTAGACGCACAAGCAGGTACACGGGTTCCCCTTAGGCACTCCCAGGTTGTCACCCAGGGTTCTGGTGTGACCGAGGCCTCTGGTTCAGCGAGGGGAGTCCGTCCGAATCATTCCCAGACGGCGGGTCCCGGTGCGCCCAATGCTTGGGCATCTGGGCCACCTCGCCTCTCTGCGGACGGGCCTGCTACGCGTCCTCAGGTTTCCTTTGGGAACAGGAGGAACGTGGTACGGCTCATCTGTGGGGGTGAGACCCAGGTGCCTGACAGACGGTGGCTGGTGACCCGGCTAAAGGATATGGGATTTGCGCCCGTGGACCTGTACGCGCTCATCCATGCCTCGGGCACCCGGGAGTTCGACGTCTCCTTTATGACGTCGCAGCTCCTGGATCGCTTCTGGGCTGGGTGGGAAGCGGCCAGGTCTGCACAGGGTACAAAGTGGGCAGGATTCACCGCTGTGGCCATTTCTCGCCAGGGTCTTAAGAAGGTCACTTTCCTGGTGAGAAATGAATCCATCCCCATAGCAGACATCCTTGTTTGGACTAAGAGGTTTGGGGATGTTAAATCCCCCTCTGTTAAGATCTTAGATGAGGATGGGATTTGGACAGGCGGATGGACTGTTTCAGTGTTGCTGCGGGAGATTCGAGGTGTCACACAGCATATGCCTAATAGTTTTTTCATCGGGGCTGACCGGGTATCCTGTTTTTACCCTGGTCAGCCCAGGGTATGTCACAAGTGTGGATCGTACAGGCATTACAGCAATGCCTGTACGGTCCTCAAATGCACTATGTGCGGCGCTGTGGGGCACCTCCGGGACAGCTGCAGGGAGATCCGGTGTCATCTGTGTTCAGAGATGGGTCACACGTACCGCACCTGCCCCGAAGCCCAGCACAATGTAGAGTCCATCTGGAGTCAGGAGCTGGTGGAGATGGACTCTGCTGGGTTAGGGGTTCAGGTAGCATCGTCATCTACAAGGCCCATCTCTGGCACAAGGGTTTCCCTGCCCCAGCAACAACCCATCCTCCCCTCGGTCTCTGTAACATCTCAGGACCCTGGGAAGGCCACAAGTTCACGTCCCCTCACGAAAAGTGTACGTAGAGAACGCACTACCTCCACAGCCATTATGGCTCCCCCTAGACCCCCTCCCCCTAGGCCCCCCCTCCTAAATTCTCCACGGTGAAGGTTACCCCCACTGAAAAGTCCCCAGATGCACGTCCCTTAGATGCACAGTCCCTAGAGTGGAGCACGGTGAAAGGTAAGAAACCCCCTCCCTCCAAGACCTCGACGCTGCCCTCACCCCGGAAGATCGCCATACCCCCTGCGGCGAAACCCCCGAAAGGGGGAGACGCCACTTATAAGGGTGGTGTGGCACGGGCGTCATCCTCCTCTTCGGGCTTGCAGGAGGCCCCGGTGCCCGTATCTAACAGGTACGAGGCACTGTCCTCCAGCTGGGCCGACTGTGAGTACGAGGAGGAGATGGCGAACCTCCCCGAGGTGGTGGCAGAGGTTGAGGTGGGACAGGAGGTGCTTCTGAGAGACGACGGGCCACTGTATCCCGGAGTCTCAGTGAAGAGGTTCCTCGGTTCCGACACGGAGGAGGAGGGGTACCGCAGAAGGAAGGGAAAGTCTCCTTATACTTAATGCCCTTATGGCGACTTTTCCTGTACTCTCTGTGGCTACGGTGAATGTAAGCAGCATTAAGTCCAGCAGGGCCCGCTTTTTGGTTTACGACCACCTCAGCCGGGCTCCGTACAATGTCATCTTGGTACAGGAGACCCGGCTGGAAACCCTCGCGGCCCTGCACGCTGCAAAGCGGGACTGGAGATGGGGGCCCTCCTACTTCTCTCTAGCCACAGAGAGATATGGGGGAATCGCCATCCTATTTAAGGACGTTGATGTTAGCATCAACAGGGTTATTGAGTTGCAAAAAGGACAGTGTGTGGTTTTAGATGTCTCAATGGGCAGGCAACCTTTCAGGATAATTAATATCTATGGCCCCCAATCTAAGTGGGAGAGGAAGCGCCTGTTTATTGAGATAGAGCCTTACCTTTATACATCCCAGCAAATCCTGTTTGGCGGTGACTTTAACACCATAACTAGGCCTCAAGACAGGAGAGACGTCACTCAGAGGCTGGGGTATGACTCCTATTTTTTAAATAAGATGGTTAGTCAGGCTGGATTGGTCGATGTGTACCTTCATCACACTCCCAATCCCACGGG